GTCAGGGTGTGAATCAACCTCTACCTGACCCGGGTCAGGAACAGACCTGCCCAGGGGGCTGGTTATTCCACCCCTGCCCCCCTGGGGGAGTCCTTCTGCCTTCCTGTGATGCAGCAGGTGCCCTCTGCCACCGGAGATGGGAAGCCGGGTGCCAGGGGAAAATCCTGGTTTCTGGGGGTTTTCTCAGCTCTTGCCAGGGGAAGGTGGTTTCCGGGGAGCTGAGAGCCAGGGCTGGGTCTGGGTACCTGTTGCTGCCTTTATGGGCTGAGTGCAGGGCTGGCCTAACGCATCCTTGGGCCTGAGGTGACCGTTGGGGGGGGGGGGGGGGGAGGGTTTGCAGTGCCACTCAATTTCCCCTTGCCGGCAGCTCTTTCTCATCATGACCCCAGTGAGGAGAGGAGGCAAGGGGGAATCAGGATGCCTGGGCGCCTTTCCTGGCTAGCTCAGCCACTAATTTGCCAGGTGGGCAAATGGTGCCTCAGTTTCCCCATGTGTAAGATTGTGGGGAGGTGATAAGAGTGACCTAAGGGAGGCCAAGGCGTTTAATTCATTGAGTTGGGAGCGCCACTTCCACCCTGGAGCTAGAACCCAGGAGTCCTGACTCTTAGCCCCTGCCCCCCCATTCTAACCACTAGCCCCCCATTCCCCTCCCAGAGCCAGGGAGTGGACCCAGGCATCCTGCTCTGACTCCTCTGCTCTATTAGACCATAGCACCCAGGGGTCCTGAGCCCCAGTCGTTTCCCCCTCCCCCCCAGCTGTAACCATTACTTCAGCCTGCCCCAAGCACCTGGTCTGGGTCCTCAACGCTCCGGGGCTGGGAGCATCCCCCAGCCCCTGCCACAGAGCGAGGCCTCAGCTGCCCCCCCACTCAGACAGGTTGCCATGGGAACACTGGGGGGGGCGCTTGGCAAAGTGTGTGTGTGGGGGTGGGACCAGAATGAAGCGCAGTGTGGGGGTGGCTGGCTGGGGGTGGCCAGCTTGGGGGGGGGGTAGGGGCGGGCAGGTGAGGGGGGAGCAGCTGGCTGGTTCCCAGGGCACCAGGCTGGCACAGTCCAGGTTGGATTAGAGGGACGAGCTGGTGCTGACTTGGCTGGGGAAATGGAGGCAGCCCCGGGTCATTCTCCCCCCCCCCCCCCACGGGCGAATCCAGGCTGGTCCTGATCCCCATTCCCGCCATCCCCTACGGGGGACTTTGCACCCAGTTGGCAGCTCAGTGATTTAGGGGGATGGGCTGGGGGGGGGGGGGGCCGGGAAAGACTGGCTAGGTCAGGACTCCTGGGTTCTCTATCCAACTCCATGTCGCTTTTTCACAGCTTGGCAGGGACGGGGGATCGTGCCTGGGGTTAAAGGGGAGATGTGAGTAAATCAAGACTGAGCTAGGAATTAGTCTGGTTCCTTCTGGCCTTGGCATCTACAAATCGATCCAGGGCTAAGTGCCACTGGTCCAACTCACTTGGTTTCTGGTTTCCCCAGCTGCTGTAGGAGTCACCCCCTCCCGGGCAGCTCGGCCCCCCAACCCGCCACAGCCCTGCTGCTTGCCCAGCCGAGGACGCCAGCCCCAGTGGCCTTCAACTGCCCCGGTGGGGGGCCAGCCCTTCACCTCCGCTGGATTTGAAGCCCCTCTCACTGGGACCTGGGCCAGAATGTGCATACAAATGCTGATGTGCCCTCTGGATCCCAAGGGGGGAGGGGGCTGAAATGGACGTGGGGAGCCAGGGGGTGGGGGGATGACGTCCCAGCCCAGCCCACGACGGCATCACCCCCATGCCCCTGGCTCATGGATCGGGGCTCCCGGCGGAGCCTGGGGGCAAACACCCTTCAGAACAGGCCTTCCTGAGCCGGAAGATCTGGATGCTGCGGAAGGGGAAGAGGGGCTGGGAGCCTGGCACCGCCCAGAGTTGTCTGCCTGGAAGCCAACCATGAGAGCCCCAGCCAGGCCGTGAGGCACCCGGCAGGACTCCAGGCTCCTCCCTGCTCAGAAAACTGCTCTGTTTCAAGGCATCGCCTCCAGGGAAGAAGGGCGCTGGCCCCAGGCCCCTCGCTACCCTCAGCGGAAGCGTGGAGCCCTTTGGCGAGTCTCCCCTGAGATGGCGGCAGAGGCCTGACTCCCCCAGCCCAGGTGAGACAGGCTCCAACCCCGGGGGCTCCTGGCCTCTCCGAGGTCTGATCGCCGCCAGGGCAAAGAGGAGAGCAGGGCCAGATGCCAGTGCCCGAGGCAACACCAGAAGCAGAGAGGGATGGAGGAGACGCTGAGAAGCAAAGGGACCCTGGGGAGCTTGTGGTCCCCCCCATGCAACGCCCCCGTCCCAGAGGCAGGAGGCTGCAGCGCGGCCTCATTGGGCGCAGACATGGAGAGAAACGCCGGAGCCCGGGGGCAGCCCGGAGGCTGTGGGGTGCTGCATGGAGGGCTGGGGGCCCAGGGAGGGGAAGGGCCAGGCCCCCTGCCTGCTCCCAGGCAGGGAAAAGAGGGGCAGACGGAGTCGGCTGCGGGGAATCCAGGTTGGGGGAGTGGCAAGGGAGCAGGGGCTCCAGCCCAGGCAGTCAGGGCGTCTGTGGGGGGGGGCAGCTGCGTGTGGAGGGCAACGCCCCCAAGCAGCAGCTGGAGAAAGGGGCCACGACACTCACCCCGGGCACATTGGCTAGCACGGCTGCTGCCGGGCCACCCCTGACCCCGCCTCACAGGGAGCTCAGTGGACACAGGGCCCAGGCCCCTGCTCCGGCCTGGGGAGATTCCCGCTCCAGCAGAGATGGGAGCTCTGCCCCACACCAGCCCCCAGCTGGACACCCCGGCACCACTGGGCGCCAGGAATCGCGACACCCCCTGTGCTCTGCAGGCCTATCCTCTGGAGCCGCCCGCAGGACACGCCAGCCCGACGCCTGCCGGCTCAGCGCGGTGCCACGGAGCGCAGGACGGGCCTGCCCCACCCACCTCCTTGGCACTGACTCCCACCCAGGCAGGCACCATGGACTGGGCAGAGGCTGCAGGAGGAAGCGGCGTGGCCCACGCAGCTGGTAAGGGTGGCGTGTGCCAGCCAAGTGCAGGAGCTTGGCTGTGCTCCCCTGGTGCCAGGTGGCAGCAAGCCGGCCTGGGGGTCAGCGCCAGGGACCCCGAGGGGCAGGAGAAGCGACTGTCGTATGGGGCAGCGGCCGAGATCGTGGCAGCCGCCATAGACACCGCAGGCAGGCAGGCGGCGAGGGACCGGCTGGGCAGGCAGCGAAGGGAGCCCGGAGGACACGGAAGGGCTCCATTGCTCATGAAGGAGGGGGGCTTGACCAGGCCCCTGGGGCACCCCCCCCCTCCTCTGGTGTCTGGTTGTTGAGCTTTGCACTAATTACTGCTAATAAAACACCTTCCTGCTGCAGGCGCTCTTGTGTGTCCTTGCAGCAGGGGCAGCTCTAGGGGCCGACCACCCAGGCCCAGCCCAGTCGACATCCTTTGGAGACGGAATTGGACCTTGGTCATGGGATGGAGTCAGTATTATTACAGACGGGGAAACTGAGGCACAGGGCGGGACTGTGACTTGCCCCAGGTCATGCAGCAAGGCAGTGGCAGAGCAGGGATTGAACCCCAATCTCCTGCATCCCAGTCCAGTACACTAGATACTAGCTAGGAATAGAACCCAGGAGTCCTGACTCTCAGCCTAATCCTGCTCTAACCACTAGACACTACTCCCCTCCCAGAGCTGGGGATAGAACCCAGGAGTCCTGGCTCCCGGCCTTGCTTTGCCTTCCCGAGCCGGGAACAGAACCCCGCGCCCAGCTGCCTTTCCTATTGCTAAGCTCCCCTGGTCTATTAGCGATCAGCACAGAAACCAGTGTTGAGGGGGTGCGGGGAGAAGGGAAAATCACAACTCGTAAGCAGGGTCACAGGGAACAAAATCTTTGCTCTGTTCCTCCACAGGGCACCCTCCTTGGCACTGCCCACCCCCCGACAGCCACGTGCCTCTCTCTTCACCCATCTCTCAAATGGAATTGGTCACATTCAGAACATGGCGCAACCCCGCTAATGAACCCGGGGCCATTCCCAGTGAACAAATCAAACCCAACGAGCAGTGGGTAGGGAGCTTGATTCACAGCAGAGGGGCTGCAGTGGCTAAGCGGGAGAGATGGATTTAGTTAAAATCTTCCTCCCGCTGCTGCTTTCTGGGTCTCGCAGAGACACCAGCTCTGGGACGCGAGACCAGCTCTGCCTCACAGCATGGATCCCGCGATTAGCCTGTGGAACTCCTTGCCACTGACGTTCAAAGCAGACTGGGCTCGTATACAGATAACAAGACCAGCCAGAGCTAGTGTGATGACTGAGAAATAACTGACACAGAAACGCTCATGCGCCAGGGAACGAACCAGTCTCTAAGCAACACCCTCAGCAGCTGGCTTGAGCTCAATGGGGGACAGGCACCTAAATCTCCTCTGCATCAGTGAGCTCAATGGGGGACAGGCACCTAAATCGCCCTGGGGATCTGGGCCCAGGCCAGCTCTGCTCCCCCCTGCCAGCTAGCTGGGCCCCTCATGGGGCACTGGGGCAGGGCATGGCAGGTTTGGCTGGGCACAGCTGAAGTAGCTACAGCTGCTGCCCCAGGGATTAAGAACAGTGGAGAGTTGAGGCCTGGATGGGGGGAGCTGCCGCCCCCACCCCTGGATTCTCCCCCTCCACCCCCACCTCCTGCTGTAATCTTTCCCCTTGTCAAATAACTCCATGCCCATCCCCCGGGCTCCGAGCGGGCCCCGCTGCGCCAGGCGCTGTACAAACCTACGGAGCTGGCCCACGAAGCAAGCCAGGTCTAGGTGGAGTTCTTGGAGGATATGGCCTGCGTCCCTGCAGCGCCTGGCCCAATGGGGCCCCTACCTTGGCTGGGGCAAGGCCGGTATCTATGCAGTAGCTGGCCCCACGGGCCCCGCTCTCTGTCAGCACTATGCGGGCAGCGTCTTTCAGCCAGGGCTCCAACGGGAAGCGGTGGGGCTGAAATTTCACTGCTGAAATTAAAAGCACACAAGGACGGTTTCAAATCGTGACTTCTTTTTACCATTAGTGGATGTAACACAGACAGAGTCCCCTCCCGGCAAAACAAAGCAATACACCGTGCTCCCCCCAAAAAACGGCCCGTGATGGGGGCAGAATTTGCCCCGCCCGACAGCCTGGAAAGCATTTCACAGTTTAAAATTAAAGTAAGTGGGTGAGAGACCCTCCTGGCGCAGCCAGAGCTGGCAGGAATCGGGGAGACGGGAAAAGGAAGATTTCCCGGAGAGACATGAGATCGGGGAGGGATCTGCCTCCAGGCAGGTGAAATCAACGTAAACACAAAGCGGAGGACAGGGCACTGCTGTGGAAAATGTCAAGCGCATGGGACTGGATGCAGGTCGGTGTGGAACGGGCAGGGGCGGTGGAGTGGGACTGGCAGCCCTTAAAGCAGGTCAAGCTGGGGTCCGGGGTGGGGGGGCGCAGGCTGGCATGTGGGAGGCAGAGGCTTACTGAATTTCAGTAGGGGGGTTATAGGATGAGGAGATGGTGGAGCTATAGGGAGAGAACATGCCAGGCTAATGGGGGGGAGGGGGGAGGAGAGAGAGAGAGAGAGTGTGTGTGTGTGTTTATAGGGAGAGGATGCGCAAGGCCATCAGTGTCAATTTCTGACGGCTCACAGAGGAGTCACCCCATCCCGACAGACTGGGGAGGGACGTGGCTCCACCACTCCCCCCATTTGCTGGAGGAAGTCGCAGCCCCCCTCGGAGAAGGGGCAGCGCCTGCAGGGGAGGGATTGGGGAATCGCACCTGCAAGAGGGAGCTGGGGGAGGGTTGCTCAGCGGTGCCCAGAAGTCCGGCAGGCACCCCCCGGCTGGCTGCCACTCATGTGGATCCACGGGCCGCCCTCAGTCCTGCGGGGGCCCTCTAGCGGCCCAGAGACGGGGCAGGTTTGGTCGGGCTCCAGGGCTGAGTTTAGTGGCCCCTGGCACCCGCTGTTGCCATGTTAATGTCCTGTTGGCTCAGGAGTGAGGAGAGGGAGATGCGGGGGTGGGGGGGGGGGCTGCAAGATCAGACACAGCCAATCACAGCCCCCCTCCTGCCGGCAGAGGGCAAAGCAGCAGGCGAATGATTTTCCAGCTGGCTGGCTTGTCAGCACGACAGACAGCCGCCAAACAGCTGCTTAGCCGGGCGAGAGAGGCAGGCGACCGGGTGGCTTGCAGGGCTGGGTGGGGGCTCCGGGTCCCTGGTTGTTACTGGTGGTGGTTACTTTCTCCTCCTCCTTCCAGTCCGAGCCAGGTCCGGTTTGGAGCCGGGCTCAGCCTGAAGCAAGCACCAGGCACCTGTTCGCCCTGGCAACGGGCACCGACCCGTGACCCGTGTCAGTTCCAGAACTGGGGGCCCCGGCACAGATCAGGTGTCTCTCCTCTCGGGGCGTCAGTGGATCTTGGATGGGTCTCTCAGTGCGACCGCTGTGCCGGCTGGGAGCCACGTCGGAGAAGAGGGCACCGGCTCCGGGGCAGGCAAGCCCTGGCACTCCATCCACCTCGGCGAGTGCCCAGCTGGGGGAAAAAACCCTGAGCGGCCCCCGCTGGAGTCAAAGAGGCTCAGGGAGGATGCGCTGTGCCAGGCAGGTCCAGAGTTGCCGCCGAGCGGGATCCCAGCATCCACCGCAGCGTGGTGGTGTCCCCTCCCCAGCGCCCGGTGGCGGATGCAAACGGCACGTGGGTTCTCTCCGGGCTGGAAAGAGGAAGCGTCCCGGTCTTGGCAGCAGAATGCGAGGGGTCCGGTGGTCCCAACCGATGCCAGCTCTGCCCGTGCAGGACCAACGCGGCAGGGAGTGTCCCAGGACGCAACGGGGTACGGGGCGAGCCTTGCCTGCAGCCCCAGAAGAGCCAGTCTATCTCCCTACCCCATCACTGCCAGCCACCCCTCACTGCCATCTGCACCCAGCATGCCTCCCACCTTTCTTTACACACCCAGCCCCCACACAAAGCTCCCGGCCTGCCTTCCCATATAAAAGCAGCCCATCCCACTTACATCGACCCCCCTCGCCTCCTCCAGACACCCCCTAGCAGATACACCCGGCCTTTAGACACCGCCCCGGAAGATGGGCACCCCTGCAAGAACCCCACGACAGGCGCACCCAATACGCGTCCGCCTGTCACTCCCCACTCCGCCCAAGCCCACACCGCCACTCCCCCCGACCCATTAGAAAACCACTTGCATGTGTCCAGGCAATGCCGCTCCCCAGCGGGACAGAGGCCCGGAGCAGCCTAAAACCCTTTCCTTCCTAATCCAGTCCGAGAAAGAAGCCGATCCCGGTCGAGGTGCATCCTGGTCTTCCTCCTCAGGCGGGGGCGCTCTCCGGGGGCCGCTAGCAGGGGAGAGCTCCCCAGTCCGTCAAAGCCCGAGTATTAGAAACTTAAAGGTAATAAAATAATCTTTTAACCATATACAAATATATATATTAAAAGAAAAACCACCAACAACTCTCCTTCCCCGACGGGCCACGGAGGGAAGCCGGGCGCATCCTGCAGCGCAGCTGGGCGGATTCCTCCCTCACTCCATCTTGGACATTTCAAACTTCGTGGTCACTATTTCCTGGAGCCGGAGAGAAAAAAGGGCCCTTGTGAGGTCCCACGGGGAGGAGAAGAGTCACCCCCATGCCAAGGACGACTCCTTGCTGCTTCCAAGCTAAACGCTGACACCGAAAGAGATCACTGCGTGTCAGCCACCTCTGGGGTGGGGCGCGGCAGCTGATGAAGGGGGACCGAGCTACCCAACAGCAGAGAGCGAAGGAAAACCCTGCGCCCGACTAAAGCGGGAAGGGGACACAGAGGCAGAACGGAGTCACCCGGAGAACGCGGAGCTGGGTAAACTCCTGGCTCTTGTGAAGGGGTGGATGGGACCTTGGGTGACCATGAGTGGTCAGTGCCTCCGTTTCCTAGCAGGTCGGAGAAACAAGAGAACGGCGCCCCCTAGTGCTGCACTGCAAGGGGAGAGCGCCCCCTACCCTGCTCTCTGCAGCACAGCGCCCCCTAGCGCTACACTGGCTCCGAGGGGAAGAGACCCACTGCCTTGCCCTCTGTATACATAGGTGCTCTTTGGAGCGGGCAAGCTAAGAGCCCAGGATGGAGCCGCGATGCCACCTGCGGGTTCAGGGAGGAGAATCTCTGGGGCTCTAAATAGGAAAAGCAGGGTTACCTCATCGGAGTCCAGCAAAGGGGGTAGCACCCTGCAAGAGGGAAGAGAGGCAGGAAATTAAGGTGCTGAGAGCCGCAGGCCCTCTGAGGGACAGACGGATCTGCCCACAGCTGTTTAATAAAGCTCACACTCAAGGCATATGGGGGTCCCAAGCGAGGGGGGGATCTTACCCCTTGGGGACGGGGAGAATCTGGACATTGTCGGAGAGGAATTCAGCCAGGACGTTGAAGCCATATATCCCAAATCCCGCAGCACGGACCAGAGGATATTCCCGGAGAGGGCTTGGGGGTCATTTCTCATCCAGGTATTTGCACCTCCTGGTCCATGCCTCCCGGTACCGTACTGGGTCATTATGGACTCCAAGCAGAGAGCGCCCCCTACTGAGCCACCCACCCTGCTCCACAGTGCCCCCTGGTGCCAGGCTAGGGCAACGGGGTCATTACTGACTCCCAGGGGAGAGCGCCCCCTACAGAGCCAACCGCCTCGCCCCCTGCAGCACTGCGCCCCCTTGTGCCACACTGGGGTCAGTACAGCCTCAGAGGTGAGCAGCCCCTGCTAATACCATTTCTCCAGCACTGGGCATTCCCCTCGGTGGTCTCCCACTCAGGGTCCAGCTCAAAACCCGATTAGCATGACAGCTAACAGGCCAGCAGCCCAGCGCGGCAAGCAAAGGCCCTGCATACGAACAGACCGTCCTTCTCACAGCATCACCCCACGGGGAAGCTCGAGGGACGCACGATAAGATCTTAGATTGCCCTGGCCAACGGAGGGAAGGGCCCAGCGAGCTCAGGGATCGCGCTCAAACCTACACGTCAGCCATAGACGACGGGATGTTTTCCTCCACCCATTTCAAATCTTCATCCTGCAAAGAAAGGTCGGGGTGGGGTGTGTGTGTGGGGGGGAACGACAGCTAGTCAGTGCTGGAGTCCAGGGGAGCAGCCCCCAGACTGGGCGCATCAGCCCGAAGTTTGCAACACCACACAGAATCCACTGAATGGGAGGGGACTGCGCCCCCTAGAGCCACTGGGTGGTGAGGGGCACCACAGCGCCCCCTAGCACTACCATGCAGGTGAACACTGAGTGTAAGGGGACAGCAGCCCCTCAACCCCGCTCCCTGGGACACAGCGCCCCCTAGTGCCACACAGGCGGACTGGGGTTAGCACCGAGACAGAGGGGAGAGCTCACCCCTTGCCACGGAGTCACCAAGGACAATGCCTGCAGTCTCTTGGGTCTCCCGCCCACGTATTAAGCGGGTCCGACCCTGCTTAGCTTCGCAGCTCCAAGAGGAGCACAGCCCAAGCTGCAAACCTTGCCTGGCTGCGCGCTGGCGGAAGCGGTTCACCCTGACTCACCCCGCTGCAGCCACGCGCTCCTTCGGCTGGGCTGACAGGGGCCGAAAGGGCTCCGATGTAGGGCCAGGGCGGCACCCGATTCAGAGCCTGACCCTGGAGAGGTGGAGGCCCCTTTGGGGAGCCACGAGCCAGATCAGCAGCCCCTGCCCCCGACCCCATTCCTTACCACTCTGCTGCCTTTGAGGATCCCATTGGCTTCATTTTTTGCACCCCGCATCTTCATCCCTTCTGCAAAACAGATAGTCCCCCCCCGCCCCAAACCAGAGGGTCAATGGAGGAGCAACTAGGAGCAGGCCCCCACCCACCTCCTGCTGCAGCTGCCCAGAGTTCTCGCATTTCATACACGATCTAGTGGGCCAGAGTCATTTCGGGGCCACAGCTGCTGCTCTGTTTGATCCCTCCCCTACCTGGCTGGCAGGGTACACAGGAGCCACTAGGAACAGAGGTTTTGGTTGGAAGCCACCACTGCCCATCGAACGGGGCCGAGCCAACCCCACCCCTGCACCGCATTCTTGTGTCTTTGATCGCAGGGATCTTGACACGCCACTTACCCTCACGACCCCCCCCCCCAGTGTTATCTCTACCTCTCACAGCAGGGGACGTGACACAGCAGATCAGCAGCAGAGCCAGCCTCCCTTGTTCCAACCACTAGACCTCACTCCCCAGCCAGCTCCAGGAAGAGAACCCGGGAGTCCTGACTCCCAGGCCTGTCACCACTCCTCTGACCCTTATACAGCACTGCCTACCTCATACTTACATAGCTGGATTACTGTCCGACATCCTTATCTTTGTGTACAGGGCAAAAATAACCTTGCCCCCTATATATTCCCCTATGCACATACACACACAGTGCAGAAGCTATGCAGGTAGCCGTGCCAGAAGTCCAACCCTGCGGCTGGATCATTTTATGGTTCTGATCATTTAGAGTCCTGCTAAGTTAAGGGGAAATCAAGCTCATGCTTCAGGGAGCAGGGGTCAGGAAGGGCTTCGCTCACCCTTTCCTGCACACCCCACGTGAAGCAGGGCTCAATGGCCCAGGTGGGTTACAGGGTGGATCTGATTATTGGCTACCGCTGCAGGGCAATAACTGATTGGGGGATGCACTTGGCCAGTTGCTAGCGCTGGGATTATGTTTAGACCCCTAACTTGCTCTGACTTTCCCAGCCCTAGAAAATTTAAAGGGACAGGTACACCAGAGAACAGCCACCTGCCTAGCATCACTCAGGTACGGAACAGATCAGGGGGTGGGAGAAGGGGGTGTATGAGTACAAGCTAGCCACATGCCAGGGCACCGAGACAGCAGGGCGAAAGGTAAGGAGCAAAGGGAGTCACTTGAGCTCAGGCCAGTTTCTTCCTACCCCGGCCCAAGCAACAGACACGGGAGTTCAGGGTCTGGGGGAGCATCCTGTTAGATCAGACTTACCGAAGGCCTCGTTCACCATACGTTCCTCTTCCTCGTCCTCTTCCTCACTCCCTTCATCCACCAGTGGCACAAACGCGTATCTGCTGAGACAGCACAATGGTTCACAAATGCATAGATCTCATAGCCAGGAGGACCACTGTGATCATCCTCCTGGATAACTAGCCACGGCAGAATTTGATTCTTCTTTTCAATAATTTCAAAGAGTATCAATGTATGTTTAAGCATCCCCCCCCCCCCGCATTATTAGCTACAGTAGAACCTCAGACTTATGAACACCAGAGTTACAGACTGACCGGTCAACCGCGCACCCCATTTGGAACCGAAGTGCACGATCTGTCGGCAGAGACAGACAGAATATACAGCCCAGGGCTGTGCAAAACAAACTACTGCGAAAATAAAGGGGAAGCTGCATTTTCTTTCGGCACAGTAAAGTTTCAAAGCTGTGTTAAAGGCAATGTTGCGTTGTAAACTTCTGAAAGAGCCACCAGAGTGTTTGGTTCACAGCTACAAACATTTCAGAGTTACGAACAACCTCCGTTCCCGAGGTGGCTGCAACTCTGAGGTTCCACTTTATTTTCATTTTCACAGGTGTGCAAAATTCTGGGTTTTAAGCTTTTTTTTTTTTAAATTTAAATTTTCACTGTTGTGGGAAATTATGGGGGAGTGGGGACAGCCAATTATTTAACGACAGATGCTAAGATTCACAAAGTGACATTTTTTGTAACCGTTAAAACAGAAACGGTCAGTATCACGCGTCAGAACATATGAGATAAATAGCTTGAAATCAAAGGCTAAGAAGTTCTGAAGCAGCATTCGTCTTACTTTGCCCCGCTGTATATTTCAGTTCTCACAGATGGAAACATTTCTCTGGCTGGTTTGCCTATTTGTGGTGAAATCAACGTTTACTGACATTTACCAATCAAAATCGAATCCTTACTGGACCGTGTGTAATGCAGTCCTCAGGACTTCCCCAAAATAACTCCTAAAAGATCTGCCCAAGTTCAAACAGAAGGCCATGCCAGTTGCAGGGATATTTTTTAAGGGGGCATCACCTGGGGGTTTAATACCCCATGGGGCAGGGCGGGGGAAGCAGCCAGTGCCTGGGTGGAGATGTGGCTCCATCTTAGCCACCAGATCTGGGTTGGATGCAGGAACGGCTGGGCGGGTTATGCAGGAGGTTAGACCCGATGCTCACAATGGTCCTACAGCATAGTATGTGATGTATCTCCCCACTCCCCCATCGCAGTTCCCCATCTTGAAACACCCTTCCCCCAACAACTGACCCCTCCCATCCCAGCGGCCCTTCCCTGGCAACAAGCACCCCCCAAAGAGCTCCTTCCCTGCTGCCAGATACCATCCTTTCTAATGGAGGCTCATCCCTGGAAAATGAGCCAAGCGCAGCTCTCAGCCAAGCCCCAGTCTAGATGCTTTCACTGCCTGCTCTGCCCGGGTGATCTGCACTGGCGTTACAGATGACACCTAGGTTGGATCCTTCCATGCACCCCAGTCTCGAGCGCCCAAGCGCGTGGCAGAGTGTAGCCTGGAGGGGGCGGGGGGTCCAGGCACCTTTGGTTGTTGGCCGAGGGCCTCCACAGGAACATGATCACCAGCAGGATGATGGAGAAGAGGAACCTCCAGAAGGCGTCGTCAATCCACAGCTCCCGCCAGTCCTGGGAAGGGCAAGGGCAAGCGGGAAAGGGAGTGAACCAGGGGAGGCAGGACCATCATGGAAGCCCCATCATCCCCAGGTCGTCCTACAGCACCCCTGACATTTGGCCGCACAGCCTCCCATCGGAGGCAGGAGAGGTATGGAGCAACGGGGAAACTGAGGCACGGGGCGGAAGTGCCTTGCCCAAGGGCACCCAGTGAATCAGTGGCAGAGCAGAGAATAGAACCCAGGAGTCCTGACTCAGCATCCCAACAGTAGCTCCTGCAGACTCCAGCCGGTAGCACCCCAGGGGGTCGCAGCCAGCCAGGTGGGTGGGTTAGACGCTGCAGCATGGATCTGCAGCCCCATGCAGCCTCCACAGCCAACCTAGGCCCAGTTCCTCCCCAGGGGACCCGACCTCCCCCAGGCTACGCTCTTGTTCACTGGGTTACTGTGCCGGCCCAACTGCCCGGGGCACTCCTGGATCAGAGCCTGCCGGCAGTGCCTGGCTACTCACCGACTGGCACTTGGCAAGCCGGAAGGTCTTGGTGGTCCAGATGATGAAAATGACGGATGCTGGGGAGGAGACAGGCTGTTACCAGGGCGACGGCTGCCAGGCAGGTCCCCCCAACCCCTCATTCAGCTTTACCATCACAACTGGGGCTGGGGGCATTCAGAGCCGCCTTGGGTACACTCCCCACGGAATAGGGGGTGGGCCAGAGCCCTCCAGGTGCATCCCCCGCAGTCCCCACCAGCACAGGGGGCAGAAGGCCCTCCCTGGGGCACCCCCAATTCCCCGTGGGCACTGGGGATCAGCCAGAGCCCCCCCAATGGGCACTGGTATCAGCTACCTGAACCCTTGGATCCAGCGGGTCATGGCCCCCACCCCCTGGGGAGGGCACAAGAGCCAATCATCCCTGTCCGGTCACAGACTGATCCGGGGGCACGGCCGCCCAAGAGCTGGGGAAGGGATCCCAGTGGCCTCAGAGACCTGCCCCGCAGGGTCCTGCTCGCCGGAAGAGGGGGCCCAGCTCTCAGTGCACTCCCCCCCCCCCCCCGCGTCCCCAACTCACCGATCACGGCAAAGATGAGGGTGTTGGTGAAGTGGCGGTACAGGGATAGCTTGACCATGTTACGCCGTAGCTTCAAGAGCTTCATGGTCTGCACCAGGCTAATGAGGATGTGTGGCCCGTTAAGGGGAAAAAAACGGGGTACGCCAAGAGGATTGGTGGGGAGGGCTTCACCTCCTCAAAGACGCTACAGCCCTCCCCCACCCATTCCATGGTGTCTGACTTGGGCTCCTCCCCCGGGTATGCCCCATAAAGCAATGGGGACTACTGCAAAGCATTCTGGGACACCTCAGATGGGGGTTGGGGGGGGTCAGGTGGGTGGAGACATCAGAATTACCTGTCTCAAATACTTGATAGCACACAATGCACATTCCCCCCCCCCCCCGACTCCCCAAGGGCCAGGAAATGGTTAATAAGCATCCTCTGCCACCTCCAGCCCCTTCCACCCCAAGAGGCCTGGGGTGGAGGGGGGAGGGTCATGATCTCCATGTTAGAGACAGGGAAACTGAGGCACAGACAGGCTGCCCTCAATACTACACAGCAAACTCGACGAATACAACTCAGGAGTTCTGATCACTTCCCCCCAGCCGCACAGCTGGGGATAGAACCCAGGAGTCCTGCCTTGAAGCCCCCGCCTGCTCCCATCACTATATCGAAGTCCCTCCCAGAGACGGGAGTCCTGACCCCACGTCCCCTTGCTCTAACCACTGGACCCCCTTCCCCTCCCAAAATGGAGAATGGAACCCAGGAGTCCTGACACCCATCCTCACCCCGCCGCTCTAACCACTACATCCTCCTCCCTGAATGGGGAATGGAACCCAGGAGTCCTGACGCCCAGCCCCCACTGCCCAATCAGCCCATAACCTCACACTGGACAGAGCAGTCAGACCCGGACCCAGGCAGCGCTGGGGACCCGGAAAGAGGAGGATCTTAGCAGGTTAGAGAGCGCGAGGGGAGGGGAGGGGAGGCCGCGCGGACGAGCTCGGACAGACCCACGGTGGCACAGGATATCCACCAGCAGAGGGCAGAGTCAAGCATAGCCAAAGGGATGGCAGCCAGCAGCACCAAGTCATCCTGAGCCTGGAGAGGGGGAGAAGAGAAGCAGAGAAAGGTGAGCTGCGGGGGGGGGGGGGGGGGAGGAGACACGGCTAAGGGGGGTGGTGCGGGAGGGCAGGACAGCACAGACAGCGACAGTCCAACCTGTGTGCATAGAGCGGGGGGTGGCTTTTTTGCGAGGGGGGGAGCTGGCCGTGGTTAGTTCGGGAGCAAGGAGGGATGCCCCCCCCAAACCACCCCCATATAGAACAGCTGGTTAGAGAAGAGGAGTCCCCCACCTACAAGGAGGACCAAAACACTAGCCCCGCCTCGCCCCTCCCTCCCACAGGGAACCTCAGGGCAAACCTCCCACGCAGCTAGACCCCGCCCCAAGGGAAATCCTGCCACAGCTAGCCCCGCCCACTGGCAGCAATCCCCAACTGGCCCCGCCCTCCCTCTCACAGGGAGCCCCAGGGCGACCCCCACAGGCTGTCCCTGGCAAGCCCAGCCCCACTCTGCGCACCCGGTGGCTGGGACCATTAGCCCAGGCTGAGGTCACTCCTGTCCCCACCTGATGAGTGTCAGGCCTGCCCCCCGGCTGCCCCTCCTCCCCCAGCGAGCCTGCGGTGGGGTGGGGGCCAGGGCAGGAGGAGGGCGGCCCCAGGGGCGTAGGGTAAAGGATATCCACCAGACGATGCAGGAATCGACAAAGGCCAGCACAATGTCGCACACCAGGGTGGCCGTGCTACCCTGGTCCTGGGTGTGGGGAGGGAAGAGCCAGATGCTGAGGGATCAGGGAGCAGGGCCAGCCAACCCACCCGCACCGGCCCAGGCCATCCCCCAGCTCAACCCCCCTCCCGCCCCCCGCCCACACCAGGAGCCCCGCTCACAATTCCCGCCCTCTGCCCAGTTTAGCCCCACCCCCACCATCCACCCCTCCCTGCAGGTTATGATGGTCACCCCCCGGCTGCCGTCCCACCAGTCAGCCCCTCCCCACGCGCCTCCCTGCTCGACACCCACAGGGCCAGGGGCAAACCCCTCTGGGAGCTGGACCCCAAGGAAGTTCCTCTCCTGTGCATAAGGCTGCCAGGAGAGAGAGCCCTGCTCAGCAGAGACAGCTGTCCCCGAGGATGCCCCCTGCCCCTCCGCTGCACCCCCCCCCCACTCCTGGCGCCCCCAGAAACAGCTGCCACCACAGCTCTGGTCAGAGGCACAGTCTCCCACCTGCCGCGGGGCAGCCGGTGGCTCCAATCAGGTTGTCACTGGGGCCGTGACTCCAGGCTGCCCATGGCTGGTGGTGCCCCCCTCCCCCCCCAAGGTCCCCACTTACCGATTTCACTCGCAGGATGCCCTCAATGATGGAGAAAAGCAGGTACATCAGCCCCACGCCCACCACCCGGTTCAGCAGGGCGCCCAGCCGCGGCCTGCAGAGAAGCACAGAGAGCAGGGCCAGGGTCACCCACGGGGCGGGCGGGCCAGGGAAGAAAGGAGGGGGCCTCGTCCACGAGCTGAGCCGCCCTCCTCCAGCTTCCCCCACCCCCTTCAGCTTCATGCAACCCTCCAACGCCTGGCATGGTCACTCCGTCCTCCCCACACATGGTCTGACCCATCTCCGACCAGGCCCCCGCCCCCCAATTGGAGTCTGCGCCGACCGCAGCCAAGGCACGGAGCCGCTCCCCACGACCCATATGTGAACGCGCTACCCTTCCTGCAGGGAGGGGAAGGTGAGCTCTCAGGCTTCAGGGCGTAACCGGTCATTGGCGGGGGCAGGAAGGAATTTAACTCCTTGTTCCTATAAGCAGCATTACCCAGGGATCATCCACCAGGGTTCATGGGCTAATCTGCCAGGCAACACTCTCAAGTCTCTTCCACTGGTATTGTCCCCTCCACTTCCCGATCTCCCCCACTCTCTCCGGGGCCCCAGCCCCAGGTACTCACTTGACAATGCCGTATCCCAGGCTGGCGATGATGACCAGCACTCGGGCCAGCATGCGCTTCACGGCGCACAGCACTTCGGCGAAGATCACGGCCCCTTGGACTGGAACGGGAGAGAAAAGCAACGTCACCCCAGGGCGGGAACGGGAAGGGTGGGGCGCAGCACTCCAGGCACAAACCATCACCCCCACCTCTCCCTGCCGTGCACAGATGCCCCCTGGCGAGCCCCGCCAGGCACAGCCACCTCCCAACCCCTCCTGCCTGCCTGCCAACTTAGCTGCTGAGAACTGGGAAGAAAGGGAATTGCCCCCCAAAAAAGGATCAGAAACCAGAGCCAGGTGCCATTTCGGACCCGTTACATCGGTCCCATGCCACCATGTAGTGGGAGCCGGACTGACGACACAGAGACGGAAACAGACCTGGGGCAATCTGGGCTCGTTCCTGGCGAGGAACTGGGGTAGGGCTGGGGTCTGGCCTGGATCCAGCCCACAGGCGGTATGCACGTGGCTGGCATGACCCTCAAGGAAGCTTCCAAATGGGAACCGAGCACAACTGATCCCGGGGCGTCTGGTGACCGCGTCGGAGGGGAAAAGTGACCCTGGCTCGCTTGCTGGAGGAGCAGTGCTAAGGCCAGATGACGCAAGGAAATGCAGAGGGGAGAAGAGAGGAGACAAGGAGGGGAAGGAGGAGGCTGGTGAAGGGGGAGCAGATTTTCCCAGCATTTGATGCCCAGCGGGACAAAGTGTTCTCCTGTCGCTCTCTACACAACCCAGGGGGAGAGCTGCTGGGCCTGAGGGCAGCCAAAAAGGTCTGGGGTCGGCGCTGACAGGGGAGAGCGCCCCCTACTGAACCCCCCCTAAAACCAGGTGGTGCATTGTAACCACGGACTGCGAGGGGAAAGCGCCCCCTCCCGAGATCCCCACCCGGCCCTGGCGCCTCCTCGTGCCTTGCTGGGGTCAGTGCCAAGCGGGGAGGACGCCCCCTACTGAGTCACCCCCCCCCAGGGCTTCCACCCAGGTCCCAGCGAGGGCGAGCCCTGCTGGGTGGGAGCTGAGCCGGGGGCCCGCGCACTTACCAGACACCCCCTGGCCCTGGATGCTCTGGAACTCGGCGTAGAAGACGGCCTTCTCCAGCATGCCCAGCAGGATGACACCCCCGATCCAGAACTGGATGCGCAGGATGTCCCGCCAGTAGCAGGCCAGCAGCCCCAGCCACAGCACCCCGTAGAACACGTACACGATGCACATGGCCATGTAGAACTGCGGGGGCGGGAGAGCGGCGCAGCTGACAGGCCTGATCGCAGAGCTCCGGCCATGGGATTGGAGGGGGCTCCTGGCTGTCCAGCAACTCCCCCCCACCCCAATCACCAACGCTGCCCTGCGGCCTTGAGATCAGCCCTGATCTGAGGGGCTGGTGCCCCCCTAGCGCTGCATTGGGGCCTGCGATGGCTGTGAGGGGAGAGCGCCCCCTATTGAAGCGGCCACTTGCAGCACAGTGCCCCCTAGCACCATGCCGGGGAAGGGATGATTGCAAAAGGAAAGCGCCCCCTACCGGGCCTCCCAGCCCCTGCAGGTTGGCATCCCCATAGTGCCATAATGGGGCATGGGGGTTGGACGGGAGAGCGCCCCCTACGGAGTCCCACATTTTGCGGCACAAAACCCTCTCCAGTGCCATGATGCAGCACTGATGGGAGAGCGCCCCCTTCTGAGCACCCCACCCCGCTCTGCAGAGCTTCCTAGCACCATGCTGGACTCAGAACTGGCCCAAAGAGGCTACCCCCTATGTCCCTTCCTACAGCAGTGGGATATGCCCCAGCAGTCTCCCATCCAAGTACCAACCTGACCAAACCCTGCTTAGCTTGCAAGACCAGCCAGCATCCCAGCTCATGGTGCTGAAGGAGAATGCGCTCAGTGGAAGGCAGTGGGGTCAGGCAGAGCTGGGCCGTTACCCACAACGCTCAGCAGAGCTGGCAGGGGCTTGGCAGACACGCTCACCGGGAGGCCATGAAACGGCCAGCAGCGAGACGTGGCAGCAGCCCCAGGCCTGGGGTGAAGAGACGGGGGCCTAACCAAAGCAGCTGCTGGTCTCCACTTAAAACTCCCGGCGTTCATGGGGAGGGGATGTTAGCACAGCCATGGAGACCGCCGGGCTGCGCTCCCCAAACCGTGCCAGCCCCGGGGGTCGGGTCCCTCCCCTGAGCCTTGACCCCGGGGCCAGGGGCTGCTTCTGCTCACTCACCACCATGAGCGGCCACTCGGAGGCGGAGACATACTGGTAAAGAGGGTGCTTCATCTGGACGTCAACTGGGGAAGGAGACACACAGCTGGGTGCCGGGAAGCAGCCAGAGGCAAGGAGCCCGCCCGTCACAACAGCTGCTCTCCAACCGCGTTCGCCGCCCCTCTCCCTCCGGGAGCCACCTCCCTCCACCAGCTGCCCCCCCCCCCCATTCTCTGCCTCCTTCCTTCTGCAGGGATCCGTCCCGTTCTCCCCAACCCCGCCCTCCCTGGGACAGCCTCCCACTGAACCCCCCACTCACCCTGGGACAGCTGCCCCTCCCCCACATCACTCCCCTGGGACAGCCCCCTCCATCCCCTGGGACAGCTGCTACCCCCTCCCCCCGCCCCTCTCAGTGGGACAACCTCCCACCAAACCCCCAAATCCCACCCTGCCCCACACTGCTCCCCCAACTCATGCTGAGACAGCTGGTCCTCCCCCAGCCCCAACTCCATGGGACAACTGCCACCCACCAACTTCACTGGGATGGCTACACCCTCTCCCTCTGGGACAGCTCCCCCCCCCACACCCTCACCCCCCCCAGGACATCCACCCCCGCTCCATGCCCCCTTCCCCTGGCCTCTCTACCACCACCCTCACTCCCCCCTCCTACCCACACCCACCCCTACTTGCCCTGCGGCAGCTACCTGTCTCCAGCCCAAACCCTGTTCATCTGGGACAGCCGGCCTCCCCACCCCTTCCCCAAGGAAAGTCACCCCTCCCCTCTTCCAGAGGGTCACCGCTCCCTCCCCACATCCCCTTCCCCTATGGCAGCTCCCCCACCCCAGCCTGTTCCCCAGGACATCTCCCTCTTTCTCTCAGCTCCCTCAGGGAGAGAGTCACCCCTTCCCTCACACAGCTGTCCTGTTCAAGGGGCACCAAGACACCTGCTTCCCCAGTGATTCAAACCCGGGATGTGGGAACGGAGAGGGGAGGCTGCAGCTACCTAGCTCAGGCTGTGCTTACTTGTGAGCTCCCAGTTTGAGGCAGCTTTTGGGTCCCTGTTCTGCCCCTCAATCTTCAGGATGAACATGTAGGGCCCGTCCTCCCAGGTCTCGGCTAAGGCATACAGCTGCAAAGAGACAAGCCCGAGTGACCCACAGGAGGCACTCTGCCCCCACAGGAGCAAACCTTCCACCCTCACCTGACCCCCACACTGCAGAGCGGCAAACACAATCAGGGGTTCTCACTCCCTGGGATGGGCCACTCGTTAACCCACCCAGCAACAGCAAGAGTGGGGAAGAGGACCTAGGGTGTGGGCTGAGCAGCGTGGAGGGAGGAGCCCTATTGCAGCCTGGGGAGAAAATCCAAGCTGCAGACTACTCTCTCTTGATTTCTATGCTGGAGAAAAAAAACCTGGGGCATGTGGTGGGTGGACAAACCTGGGATTATACATACAACTTTGACTCAGCCAATGACGTACTCGAGCGGTGCTGATTCTACCCAGTAGGGGGCAGCAGAGCGTACTGAGGAAGCCAAGCTAGGGCAGTATTTGCCAAGCTGCACCAGGATCGGAGGGCTACCTGAGCCTGGCTCCATCCAGTCCTACAGACACAAGCAACTCCTTGAAAGCAACCCTAACCATGACGACAAGCACTCCAACTGGCTCCCATGGGATCTGCCAGCTGTCGCGGTCACCAACCTCCGACTTGTCTTGCCTCCCTGCTTTTGATTTCTTGGTTCCGTCAGTCTTTCCCGGGCCCAGTTTCTCCCCCTTGGTCTCGCTCGGCTTCCCTGCCGCCTCTGGATTTTTGCCAGGCGCACCGGCCAATTCAACAGTAGACGACTTCTGCTTCCCTGCGGCATCCTTGGCGTCATCCTTGGACTGCGTACCCACGGTCCTGCGCCGCTGGACCCTGGTCGGCTGCTGCAGAATGCAGAAATTGAGGGGCAAGAGTGTCTGTTGGGGGGTGGTGGTGGGGGGGTTAGAAGATTCCATGGGGGGGAAAAATGGTGGTGTAGGGTGGCGGGGGGTGTATGCTCTTTTCAGGGCATCTTTCTGATGGATAAAGGCCACCAAAAGTGCTTTTATTCTACTGCAGAAATTTCTTCTACATTAGAAATCCAGGTCTTCTCTAACTCAATTTTCTTCTCTTGGGAGACTAAGGGCAACTGGAGATCGGTAGGGTTAGGACACTTGACTGAGGAAGCAAGCAGGTTTATTCAGACTGTTTCAAGTGTTGTTTCACATTTAAACTCAAACAGATCGAACAACTGGGAAAGTAACTCTTTGTTAAATACACCATTAATTGCCAGGAGAGCTCCCAGTCCAGATCTCCGGGACTTCCAAGGAGACATCTAGCGTAATTAAGACATAACTGCTATTTTTAGGGTACACATATACACTATTATTATTTAAATTGAAGACCCACTCCAAGCCCTTTTATCCCTCATAAAGAAGCAAGAAAAGGCATAAAGTGTGCTGACTGGGAAACAGATGGTCCGTCCCGTGAAAAATAAACACGGCAGGAAATAATTCATCCCAAATCGGGGCAAAATGCCAAATTTTCTAATTTTTTTGCCAAACAAAATTCTGGAAATAAAACGTTTTGAGTCAATCAAAATGTTTTGCTTCAATAAACTCAAAACATTTCGATGAAAGCCCTTTTATACATAAAATAAAGGACGTTTATAAACCGAAAAGTTTTGAGCTTTCGTTTTGAAACAGAACGTTTTAGAAAAATGTCAAAATCCCAAGTCTTTCTTCCCGAGGGGAAACATCGTAGAAACCTGTAAGATTTTGCCAAAAATTCCAATTTAATCAAAATGGCATTTTCCAACAGAAAACTCTTTCGATGGAAATTTTCCGACTGGTTCTAGGTACAAATCCCAGCTGGCTGGACTGGACACCATGAGGAGAGTAAAATCAGAGCTACCTACAGGGTTTGTTTCAAAGCAGCTTCTTGCAACTAAAATATACGGACAGAATGGATGGTGCAGATATTATTCAGTTATAGGTAGCGGGCAAAGGAATTTTTCTCCCTGCAACACGTCCCGCTTATAAGAAGCGAAAATATTATTCCGTCGCAAACAAGAAATACATATCAGCTCACACATTTAGAAAAGCAAGTGAGGAAGAATCGCTGCCCAGTTGAATTTGCAAGGGGGCAAGGTTCGGGAGGCAGAAGGAAATTGCCAACACTAGAATTCAGCTGGGGTGCCACGGCTAGCACACTGATCAAGACCTCTTACCTGAAAGATTGTCCCTCTAGGGACACGGTGCTGTGCTGGGGTCAGCAGGGATTCAGAGGGGAGAGGGCCCTTTACCAAGCCCCGCCCACCAGCAGCACTGCACCCCTTATCGCCAGGGCTGATGGAGGGGAAAGCACCCTCTACCCAGTCACCCATCCTTCTTCCTGCAGCACAACGGCCCCTAGTGCTGCTCTGGAGTCACCACCCAATAAGGAATCAAACCCTGGTTCCCGAAGCGCCCTGGGTTCCCCATCCAAGCCTCAACCAGGGCCGATCCTGTTTAGCTTGCAAGACCTGCCAGGATTCCAGCAGCGCAGCTGCAGGACAGAACCAATGACTACTCAAACCCAGAGCCACAGGACCTCATCAAGCCCCTAGATTAGAGCAATGGGTCAAGCCATGAAAGGATGGGTGATCAGAGCTCTTACCCCAGGGCCAGGGAAGGAGGGGCTGTCCCCTACATACCCCGCATCAGAGGGCCAGGCAACGCCAAGCAGAAAGCCCAGAGAGTGCCTGTGGTCCCCCCCGCAACCAGGAGTACCTCTCTCTCAGCCAGCTGGCCTCGATGACCGGCCTGAAGCCAGGGCTGTGGGGGAGAAGCGGGGCAGCCCGACAGTTGGGGTGACCCACCTGCACGTCCTGGAGGCGATCCAGCCGGGTGGGAAGCTCGAAACTCTCCACATTCAGCTAAGGGAGGAGGGAGAAGAGAGTCACCAAGAGCAGCTGGCACAAAGCAGGATGGCGCCCCAGGGAACCCCACAAACATGGACCCCAGCCCCCCTCCAATGGCCAAAGAGCCCCCAGTTACCGCAATCCCCTCCTGTTTCAAGCAGCTGAATTAGAAAGCCCACCCTCCGCCCCCCACCCAATCAGCCCACCCTTGCATCGGCCCCCCACCAGGACACCCCCAAAGACTCCAAGACCCCCCTGCCTGCCCCCCACCCCATCATCAGACCCACCCCCCTTCCTAAGAGCTCTGTTTGAATACATCGATCTGAGCTCCGTTCTCTTCCTGGGCTTCCCAGCCCTCGGCCCCAGAGGGAACTCACCTCGAGGGGGACCGTGTGACTGCAGTTGAAGGGTTTATACGAGCGTAGGATGTACTGGCCAGAGCTCTTCGGTTCCAGCTCGGTCTTGTAATTTGTCAGGTAAGTCTCTGCTCTCTTCTCCTGCAGGGGTGGGAAGAGACTAGGCCTGAGGCCCAAAGATCTCCCCACCCAGGGGACACCGATCACATGGTTGATCCCAATAGCCCATCACCTGCTCCATACGCTCTAGCCAACAACCTAGATGGGGGGGGAGGGGGGGGAGACTCCTCCCTGATTCCTCCCCACCCCAGGGACAGCCATGACATTGTGAATCAATGAGAGTCCAGGAGGAGGGGCCATATTCCCAGCAGATGAGGAGGAGGAGGAGGAAAGAGATCACCCCCCCCATTAGTTCCCCCCAAGGCTTAGTCTACATGTGGACACTAGGGAAAATTACTGTGAATTAACCCAGATTAGTTAAACCAGATTTATATAAGAACGGCCATATTGGGTCGGATCAAGGGTTCATCTAGCCCAGTATCCTGTCTTCCGACAGTGGCCAATGCCAGGTGCCCCAGAGGGAATGAACAGACCAGGTGATCACCAAATGATCCATCCCCTGTCACCTATTCCCAGCTTCTGGCAAACAGAGGCTAGGGACACCATCCCTGCCCATCCTGGCTAATAGCCATAGATGGACCTATCCGCCATGAACTTATCTAGTTCTTTTTTAAACCCTGTTATAGTCTTGACCTTCACAACATCCTCTGGCAAGGAGTTCCACAGGTTGACTGTGCGTTGTGTGAAGAAATACTTCCTTTTGTTTGTTTTAAACCTGCTGCTTATTTATTTCATTTGGTGACCCCTAATTCTTGTGTTATGAGGAGGAGTAAATAACACTTCCTTATTTACTTTCTCCACACCAGTCATGATTTTATAGACCTCAATCATACCCTCGTTAGTCTCTTTTAGTTTGTACCGGGGCATCTTCGATCCAATGGCCCCCAAGCGATTTACACACAGTTAATGATGCCTCACAACCCCAGCTCCCACCGTCCTCTTGCAAGGTCAGCACCATCCTCATTTCACAGAGGGAGAAACTGAGGTACGGAGAGGGGAAAAGAACTTTCCCGGGCTTATAGGGAGTCAGTGGTACAGCTGGAAATAGAAGCCAGCAATCCTGACCCCACCCCACGCCCCCAGTCTCACGCACTAACACACTGGACTCCCAGAGCCAGGAACAGAACCCAGGAGTCCTGGCTCCCAGCCCCCTGCTCTAACCACTGGACCGTGCTCCCTTTGGGAGAGTGGGTGTCCAAAGCCTCTATGCTCAGAGCTCTCACTCCAACCAGCCTGCTTTGAATGCCTCCTCCATCCAGTTGTCCCCACTTCCTCTGCCTTTTCCAGGCCTCCTCTTCTTCCCCCACTGCCCAGGCCTTCCCCGCAATCAGAGCCCAGGCCGCAAGGACACGGAGGTGCTTACGTCTATGTAGACTTCGTTGTGACAATGGGAGCTCCGCAGGTACCAGGTCATGTTCAGGGTCACCCCCGGGGAGCACTCCTTTGCCAGCACTGCAAAGCAGAGGCACTATCAGCGCCCAGCCAACAGGCCCCCGAGACCCCAGCAGCGGAGCCGGAGTCACGACCGACAAGGGGCAATGCAGGCCGTTTGCATCCTCAGCAGGAAAAGCTGGGATGACATCAGCACTGGCAGGAAAAGTATGGAGACAGAACGCGGACCCCTTCCCCCACCGCCAGGGCATGTGATGGTCTGACGGGGGTGGGAGAGGGAGACTAGACAGGAGTAGATAGACGAGGCAGTATCATTACCACCATTTTATGGATCGAGAAACTGAGGCAGGGACGGGACTTGACCTCTTCACTCAGCAGCTGAGCCGGGAACAGAAGCCAGCTCTCCCACGTCTCAGTCCAGAGCTCTAGCCACACGGCATCTCTTTTGGAGAGAGACTGATTTGCTTGGGTCCCATCAGCAGAGGCTGAATCTTTTGGATTCCGTAGGCCCAGGGACCTTGCTCAGTTTGAACGGCCAACCCAGGACTGGTCAGTTTTCCTTTGGGTTTCTCTCGCTTCCTCTCCAACATACAGGCACTAAGTAAAACCAAGCTGCATTCGGCTGCCCAAGAACATAAACCTTCAACATGATGCTGTCACAGTCCCACGTCAGCAAAGCACCTGAGCACATGCCTAACTTGAAAGCACGTAAGCAGGCACTGCTGATATCTGATGCCTAAAGCCCCAGCTACTGGATTCACGTGATCAGGTGAGAATCAAGACAAGCCGGAAAATGGGACACCCCCTCCCCCTGAGAGTCTAATACTAGAAATCAAAACGCGAGTTGTGTTTTCACTCATTATTTTTTGAAATCTCGTGATCTGCCAGCCAATTGTGTAATGCTGGGGGACCCAATTTGCACTTCTGAACCCCTGAGCTCAGCAACGCAGCATGGGGGTCTCACTAGCTTCAGCAGAACGGATTCCATGCTCAAAGCTTAGGTACCCTGCTCACTCAGGGCCGATGTTTCGTATTCTTTTGCAATCAAAATTGCTTTAAAAAAAAAAAAAAGGACACATTCTGTGATGCTTTGGAACATTTTCCCTGGGTCCTCGGAACAAGATGATAGATATATTTTGTGCACTAAGAAACATGTAACTGTCAATGTGTGACCTTCACTAGACACTGGGCTTGTTTTAAATGTAATCTCTCTCTCCCCCGGGAGGACTGCGTGTCGAGCACAGTAGCTGCTTACATGACTAATAAAAAAGTTGTGTTTTGATATGATCCAAAGGGCTTTTTAAAATAACACCGTATTTTTAGATGCCCCAGCTCAGTGGGTTACAGAGAACATAAGAATGGCCCTACTGGGTCAGACCAAAGGTGCATCTAACCCAGTATCCTGTCTTCCGACAGTGGCCCGTGCCCCATAGGGAATGAACAGAACAGGTCATCATCAAGTGATCCATCCCGTCGCCCATTCCCAGCTTCTGGCAAACAGAGGCTAAGGACACCGTCCCTGCCCATCCTGGCTAACAGCCATTGATGGACCTATCCTCCATGAATTTATCTAGTTCTTTTTTGAACCCTGTTATGGTCTTGGCCTTCACAACATCGTCTGGCAAGGAGTTCCACAGGTTGACTGTGCATTGTGTGAAGAAATACTTCCTCTTGTTTGTTTTAAACCTGCTGCCTATCAATGTCATTTGGTGACCCCTAGCTCCTCTGTTATGAGAGGCAGTAAACAACACTTCCTTATCTACTTTCTCTACACCAGTCATGATTTTATAGACCTCAATCATATCTCCCCTTAGCCGTCTCTTTTCCAAGCTGAAAAGTCCCAGTTTTATTAATCTCTCCTCATACGGAAGCCATTCCATCCCCCTAATAATTTTTGTTGCCCTTTTCTGAAGCTTTTCCAATTCCAATAGATCTTTTTTGAGATGGGGCGACCACATCTGCACGCAGTATTCAAGCTGTGGGTGTACCATGGATTTATATAGTGGAAACATGATATTTTCTGTCCTATTATCCATCCCCTTCTTAATTATTCCCAGCATTCTGTTTGCTTTTTTGTCTGCTGCTGCATATTGAGTGGATGTTTTCAGAGAACTATCCACAATGACTCCAAGATCTCTTTCTTGAGTGGTAACAGCTAATTTAGAGCCCATCATTTTATACGTATAGTTGGGACTACGCTTTCCAGTGTGCATTACTTTGCATTTATCAACATTAAATTTCATCTGCCATTTTGTTGCCCAGTCACCCAGTTTTGAGAGATCCTTTTGTAGCTCTTCGCACTCTGCCTGGGTCTTAACTATCTTGAGTAATTTTGTATCATCTGCAAATTTTGCCACCTCACTGTTCACCCCTTTTTCCAGATCATTTATGAATATGTTGAATAGGACAGGTCCCAGTACAGACCCCTGGGGGACACCACTATTTACCTCTCTCCATTCTGAAAACTCACCATTTATACCTACCCTTTGTTTCCTATCTTTTAACCAGTTACCAGTCTATGAGAGCACCTTCCCTCTTATCCCATGGCAGCTTACTTTGCTTCAGAGCCTTTGGTGAGGACCTTGTCAAAGGCTTTCTGAAAATCTAAGTACTCTATATCCACTGGATCCCCTTGGTCCACATGCTTGTTGACCCGCTCAAAGAATTCTAGTAGATTGGTGAGGCATGATTTTCCTTTACTAAAACCACGTTGACTCTTCCTCAACAAACTATGTTCATCTATATGTCTGACAATATTGTTCTTTATTATAGTTTTAACCTGTTTGCCCGATATTGAAGTCAGGCTTACAGGACTGTAACTGCCGGGATCACCTCTGGAGCCCTTTTTAAAAATTGGTGTCACGTTAGCTATCTTCCAGTCATCTGGTACAGAAGCAGATTTAAATGATCGGTTACAGATGACAGTTAGTAGTTCTGCAATTTCACACTTGAGTGCCTTCAGAACTCTTGGGTGAATGTCATCTGGTCCTGATGACTTACTGGTGTTTAATTTATCAATTTGTTCCAAAACCTCCTCTAATGACACCTCAGTCTGGGACAGCTCCTCAGATCTGTCAGCTAAAAAGAACGGATCAGGTTTGGGAATCTCTCTCACATCCTCAGCCGGGAAGACAATCCTTTCCATTTATTGGATAGCTCTATTTCTCTAGATTTACTACTTCCCTCTCAGGAGAGCTGTGATCAAAGCTTTCAAATCTGGGTGCCTAAAACTAGGCTCCTTAAACTCCATATTTAGGCTCCTAATTAAGGACCGATCATGCAAAGACTGAGGCACGTACTTATCACAGTTTGTTGGAAGATCTTCTTTGAAACAGTTTCCCGTTGGAAAATACGAATGTTTTTCAAGGAACTAGGTCAACTGAGACAAAGCTTTGCGCAAAACATTGGGAAAATGTTTTGAAAACGGCCAAACATCCCCCAAACGCTGTTTGGACTCTGACAAGCCCATCCCCATATAGTTTAAGGAGCCCAGCTTTAGACATCCGGGTCTCCCTGTTTTGACCCAAACATATTGCACGGTTTAGCTGGAGGATTTTGCTGGGCTTGTCTTCAATATGCCCAATACCCGCTCCCCAGCCTTTCAACACATCTGAAGCTACTCACCCTGAAGAGAGATCGAGGAACCATTGAACATCGTCTTGGAGAACACAAACAGGTTCTTGGTGCTGTTCTGAAAAGGCAAGGGGGGTGGGGGAAGATCTGTTTCAGTCACAAGGTAAGAAAACACACAGGGAAGGGTTTTTTGATCCCCTAAACAAACCGATGCCAGGAAATGTGCACTAGTGAATCGTCATAAATGAGCAACTTGAGGCAAACAGCTTTGCATATAGCCTGGAGTGCAGAAAATTTTGCATGGCTGCTTCTGGGGAAGGGCAGAAGGGTTAAGAAACAGCAGAGGTTTATCCCCCTGGCTTGTCCTCAGAAGAGCCAACGAGAAAGGGCTGTATTAGGGGGCAGCATGATCCAGGGGTTAGAGCACGGATTGGGTACTAAGGAGACCTGTGTCCCATTCCCAGCTCTTCCACTTCTGTTTCCCTTCCCACCCTGTCATGTCTATTTGGATAAACTCTCTTGCTACGGGGGGGTGGTGGTGGTGGTAGAAAGTCCCTTGGGAGATGGCACATGGGGACTAGGGGTGATTAGTGAATGCAATGAGCTCAGCCAACAAAACATGTTATTGGCCGGGGATCAAGTGACCCACGCAGGCCAAATTCCTGGCTCACTCCCACAGGAGGCCCCTCCAGGGCAGGGCTGGTGGAAGGGTCTCTGGTAGGAAGTTGATCACCTGGGCTGACAAGCTCAGTACATGAACATGGTTCCGACAGGGGGAAGTAGGCTGGGGAAAACCAGTCAAATCTGAGCACGCCCGGCCACTCTCAGTGGAGGATCTCAAAGGACTTTATGAACTAAAATTGAGTCTCAACAGCCTCCAGCAGCAGGTGCGCCCAAATCCACAGACCGGGAAGCAAGGTGATGTGTTACGCCCAGACACAGCGGAGGAGCCACAATGAGAACTGAGGAGTCCTGACTCCCAGTTCCTCTGCTTGAACAACAATGACCTCACTGCAGCCCAGAACTAGGCAGAGGACCCAGGAGTCCTGACTCCCATTGCTCAACGCCCCCATCCTACTTTGTGAATAGAACCCAGGTGTCCCAATGGCTAGATCCCAGCCCCATCCCACTGGAGGCCTAGAATCCATATGCTCCAACTCCCAGCCCCACTAGGCTAAGTAGGCTCTACTCCCACCTAAGGATAGATCCCCAGGAGTCCGGACTGCCCGCCCCCAAACCACACTCCCATCCAGGGCTGGGAATAGGATACAGGCACCCAGCCCTAAACACTGCACGCACTTTGTCTCAGCTAGGTCCTTATTTCTGACGTTCCGATGACGCTGTTATGGGTAGAGAGACGTCCCCACTATGCTAAGATCATCCCATTGTCCCTGGTACCTAGAGACTGTACCAGACATTGAGGATTTTCAGCTGTGCACTGATCCAATCAAGAGATCTTATTAATAAACTGACTGATCATAGGGCAATGAGCAAGTACTGTCTTCGTGCCCAGATGACTGTTACGTTTTCGAGGTAAATATTGACCGAGGTACATTCTATTCGGTCAATATTCAGTTCTTCAATTATTCAGAACATCACTGATGTTGGCTCGTCAACACAAATCCATTGCCCTCTTTGTAAGGTATGTTCAGTAGCTCTCCAGAGGAAATAACCGGTGAATTTGCCATTACAGCCAGATCGCACCAGTGGGACAGAAGCAAGGAATATTTTGAATGGGGGATATTAATACACTTTTATTTCCTACCCTTTTCCATCCAAGGAATTCAAAGCCACTTACAGGTGTCAGAAAATTAAACCTCACAATCAACAGTGGAAGGAAAGTCTTTTCCCATTCCCTTTCCCCCATTTTACAGATAGGGAAACGGAGGCAGAGAGTGACTCATCAATGGCAGGGCCAGGCATACAACCCAGATTTCCCAGCTCCCTGGCCTTAATAGTGACACAAAGGAAAAAAACCCTGAGATTCTTTATGTTATATAAAGAAGGAAAGATTATTTCCTGTGTGTATTTTATACTAGGAATCCAGATGGTCGTGGGATTGAGGCACTGGACTGGGATCCAGGGGCTCTGTGTTCAACTCCCAATTCTGCACTGGGTTTACTTTACAGAAGTCATTCTCTGGGCATCAGATCCCAAATGGCAATTTAGGGACCAAAATCCACCCTGTCTCCCTCTCTTTGTCTCTCTTGTCTATTTAAATTGGATGTTTTTCAGGACAGAAACTCTTTCACAGTCTGCACTAGGCCTGGCACAATGGGGCCTGGATCTTGGCAGAAGATTCCAGCCACTCCCACCCATCGTACAGTTATTTGTTAAATAACAATCAGGTCTTATCTGACGCGGGAGACTTCACAGCGACTGGACTACCAGTGGCATTACGACATCGCAAGGCACTGAACGCTGCAGCAAGTCAAAGAGGGAGTGGATTTGTAAAGCAGACTGCTTAAAACTTTAGGGCGTTTGAACACCCCTTGAAAACTAACGCACATGCTGGAGAAAGAACATCTCTGTTAAACGATTCGCATGCACTCCGTTAAAAGGCCAGATCTCACAGTACACCCGCCCCGATCCCGGGAGCGAGCCCATGCTAAGGACATTTCCCACCCCTGCCAACGCTGGAAGCCCAAGCACAACCAAGGCTCGCACACCAAGCTGCAGCAGGCACAGGGCTCCTGTCTACACTAGGGCTCCCAAAGTTGCAACAATGGGATATTTTGATCCCCCTTTCCCCAGCGGAGGCTGCAGGTGAAGCGAGGAAGCCCACAGCCCTTCCTGATGTTCCTCAGGAACAGGAGAGACCTAAAGGCTCATTGGTTATGAAGAACAAGGCCAACAAGAAACAGGTGGGACAGCCCAGGTCCTGCACAGGAGGCCAGCCCTGCCCCTAGTCTGGAAGAACACAGCGGTCCAGAGTAGGGCACCCCCGCCCCCCACTCTATAGGGGCCGGGTCTCACCTCTATAGGGGCCCGGCTCGCCCCCTCCCACTCTATAGGGGCCCGGCTCGCCCCCTCCCACTCTATAGGGGCCCCAAACAGGGCACCTCCTCCTTCATTGACCCTGACAGACCAATCTCTATGTCTCCCACTCTATAGGGGCCAGGCGCCCCCCACCCCCCTCCCCCACTCTATAGGGGGCCCGAGCAGGGCGCCCCCTCCTTCGTGCTCCCCTGTACATAGGGATCGGTCTCCCCCCTCCCTAGGGGGCCAGGAGACTCTGACCCCCGACCTGGGGGGGGGGGGGGGGGGCTACTGCGCCGAGGCGGAGCCGCTAGTGGGGGGGGGGAGCGAGCCCCCCCGCAGGGGGCGGAGCCTCTGTCGCGACAGGCCCCGCCCCTGTCGCGCCGCCGCCGACTCACGCTGCGGGCGCTCACGGTCCAGCGCCCCGGCTCGGACCCCGCCCCGCCGGCCGCCGCGGGCCCGAGCGCCAGGAGCAGCAGGAGCGAGAGAGGCCGCGTCCCCCCACCGCCCCGCCGCGCGGCCGCCGCCATCCTCTTCCGGGCCCGGCACCACGTGACCCGCGGGCAGGGGCCGGGGGGAAAGGGCCAACCCCGGGGAGGGGCGAAACCCCAGCCCCAGCCAATGCGGGAAGCAGGGGCCGGGGGGAAAGGGCCAACCCCGGGGAGGGCGAAACCCCACCCCCCGCCAATCCGGGAACCAGGGGCCGGGGGAAAAGTGCCAACTCCAGAGAGGAGCGAAACACCCTCCCCTCTGCCAATGCGGGAAGCAGGGGCCGGGGGGAAAGGGCCAACCCCGGGGAGGAGCGAAACCCCAGCCCCAGCCAATGCGGGAAGCAGGGGCCGGGGGGAAAGGGCCAACCCCGGGGAGGGGCGAAACACCCTCCCCCCGCCAATCCGGGAACCAGGGGCCGGGGGGAAAGTGCCAACTCCAGAGAGGAGCGAAACACCCTCCCCTCTGCCAATGCGGGAACCAGGGGCCGGGGGGAAAGTGCCAACTCCGGGGAGGGGCAAAAAAAATATTCCTCCCCTTTCTGCTCATAGGGGCTGGGAGGGTGAGGACCCGCCCCAAAGAAGGGTGAAAAATTAGCTCCTCCCAACCCAGGGAATAGAGTCCCACCTTGAAGCTTTGGAGCCAGGGGAGAGCGCCCCCTACTGAGCCACGTCACCATATTGCCAATAAACTGGTCCCTCGGCCACTGCCCCCAGGCCGGAGCTGGGCACCCGGGGGGGAAGCCTGTGCCCTGCTCTGCCGTGAAAACTACAAATGAAGCTGCCTGCACTAAATGGAAACACTCCAGGTCTCTCCCCTCTCCCCCCTGCAGGCTGCATGATGCTGTATTAACCACCCCAAAGCAGCATCTGCTGGTAATTCTGCCTCTTGGGCCATAGGCAACGGGGCCTAGCGGACAGATCATGGCATTGAGACTCAGCCAACCTGGGCTGGGTTCCAAGTGACGGTGGGCAAATCGCTTCCCCGGCCCCTGCCTCAGTTTCCCCAACTGTACAATGGGGATAATGATATTGCCCTCCTTTGCAAAGCGCTTTGAGATCTGGTGTCTAAGAGCATAATAAATCATCATTAGACAATCCTCAGTAGGGCCTGGTTCTCCAATACCTTGCACCTAACACCATTCTGGTCTGGGTAGCGTTTCCCACTCACTCTGCATGGTGTCAATGATTGTGCAGGGCCAGAAGTGATGGAAACTCAGCCTCACCGCATATCTAGGAGGAACGTGATGCAGGATTGCAGAAAGCCCCATCCGGGAGCAAATGGGTCACTTGTGCGGCTGGAAAAGGCTCTGAAGCCAGATTTCCAGCCAGTGTCTATTGGCCTCGCTGAGCCAAATTCCCAGAGGTGGAGATTAACCTAACTGTATTAGAGTCAATGGGGCCAGATTCCCCTGCGGGTGTAAACCAGTGAGAGCAATTTACACCATTTGGCACCCAGCCCATTGTAACCAACTTTCCTCCTTGCCCATCCTTGCATGTTTTCAGAGGCTGAACTAACCCTTCCTAGAAGGGGTGTGCTGGCACCCTGCAGCCTCACATTCCAGGCAGCTGATTCAGAGCAAGGAGCTTCCCTCCCCACGCCCCTTTCCTGGGGAAAACCACAATGAATATTTGTTCACTCTGCCTCACAGTTTAGCTGCAGGCCGGCAACTAAAGAGAGATAGCGGGGAAGGAGTAAGGGGCGGAGATCCAACTTCCTTAAATAAACAGGATGTAGCTAAATCCACCCATGCCTCCACAACCTGTTGAGTCTGGGTGCTGGATTCTGATTTGCGTTTACACCTGGGGCAATCCAGAGTCACTCCAGGATCAGAATCTGTCCCCGGCGCTGAGCAGCCAGGCACATAAGCGCTGAGCATGGGTGATAATGTCCATGTGTCATGGGTCTGACCCCCCCCCCCCACAAGCCCAAGGGCCTCGATCCTGTGCAGGTCTATGCCCATGCAGAACCTCATTGGCTTACATGTGGCTCAGCTTGCAGGGAACTCAGCCCTCAAAGTCCTGACCCCCTGGGCACTGCTGTAGAGCGCCTCACGGTGGGGGGGGGGGTCCTTGTCCACGACTGGGGCTCATAGGTGCTCCCCTAATACCAGTAATAATCTAACCAATAGACTTCACTCCTCTCCCTGAGCTGAGAATTGGGCCCCAGTAATCTTGCTTCCCAGCTTCAACCAGGAGAGCCCACTCCTCTTCCCAAGCGGGGAGGAGAACCCAGGCGTCCTGACCCCTGGGAACTCCATCCCACTGTCCATGGGAACAGGACCCAGAAGTCCTGAGTCCCACTCCCCCAACACTAACCACTAAGCCCATCATCTAAGGAGTCCCTGGTGTTGGCTGTCTCTAAGATCCTACTCAGGCTCACGGGAGAGCTGCCTGTAGGGAGTTTCCCAAGCCAGAATGGCTAATTCAGCTGTGGAGGCAGGTGGGTCTTTCTCTGGAGTTGTGGGTTGGAGGCCCACATGGGGTACTTTTAGTTTTGGGCATCGATCCACCCTAACAATGGTTACACTGAATTAAGCCTGTGGGAGGGGCAGGGGGGGGGTGTCTATTGGTTGGGCTGGGGGGGCTGGGAGTCAGGGATAGCCCTCCGGACTCCTGGGTTCTTTCTCCAGCTCTGGGAGGGGAGCGGGATCTAGTGGTTAGACCGGGGGGGAGGGGGCTGGGAGCCAGGACTCCTGGGTTCTCTCTGAGCCCTGCGGGCGGCACTAGGGCCCCGGTGGATCAGGGAGGCGCCTCTGGCCGCGGCTGTGGGGCCCGCCCCGCCGCAGTGACTCGCTCGGGCGTGGCGGGTCCCGCAGTCCCGTCCCGGCCGCTGGCAGAGGCCCGCTGCAGGCAGAGCCCGGAGTCCCGCATCGCCTCCCGCAGGTAGGTCCGGGGCCTCCCCGACTGGCCACCCCGTCGCCCGCTGGGTCCCCGGCTCCTGCCCCCAGCGGATCCCTCCGTGGCCGGCCCCCGTCCTGGCTTCCGCTGCCCCAGATCCCTGGGGCTGGGGGCCGCTCGTGCACCGGGTGGATCCCCAGATGCCCACTGGATCCCCTCCCTTTCTGATCCCCATCCACTGAATCCCCTCCCCTTTCTCCGGGATCCCCTCCCGCCCCCTGGATTCCCTCCCTTCCCCCGGGAATCGCCTTCTGATCCCCATCCACTGGGTCCCCTCCCTTTCTGATTCCCTCCCTTCCCCGGGATCCCCTCCTGGCCCCTGGATTCCCTCCCTTTCCCCTGGGAATCGCCTTCTGATCCCCTCCCTTCCCCCCGGGATTCCCCCCCTGAGTACTGGATCGCTTCCCCTCTGGGGATCCCATTTTGATCCCCATCCACTAGATCCCCTCCATTCCCCCAAGATCCCCTCCTACCCCCTGCACAGTGAAGTACCTCCCTTCCCCCTGGGGATCCCCTCTCTGATCCTCATGCACTGGATCCCTCCCTTCCCCCCGGGATCCCTTTCTACCCTCTGAGCACTGGATCCCCTCTTTTTCCCCCTGGGGATTCCCCCTCTGATTCCCTCCCTTCCCTGGGATCCCCTCCTGCCCCCTGCACACTTGATCCCCTCTCCTTCCCCCGTGATCCCCTCCTGCCCCCTGCACACTTGATCCTCTCTCCTTCCCCTGTGATCCCCTGCACACTGGATCCCCTCCCCTTCCCCCTAGGATCCCCTTCTGGTCCCCCATGTGCATTGGATTCCTTCCTCTTTATCCCCTGGTGATTACCCATCTGCACTGAATGCCCTCCCCTTTCTCCACTGGGGATCCCCTTTGAATCCCCCAGGCACATGGGATCCCCTTCCTTCTGCCGGGGGATCCCCTCCTGCCCCCATGCATGCTGGATCCCTCCCCTTTCTTCCTCAGGATTCCCTTTTGAATCCCCCCACACTGGATCCCTGCCCTTCCCCCTGGGGGTCTCTGATCCCCTCCCTCTGGATCTCCTCTTTTCTTCCCTGGAGATTTCAGATCTTCACACACTGGATCCCCATGGTCAAATTCCTTCCTTACTCCATTCTCTCTATCCTTTCCCCTTCCCTGGAGATGTGTCCCTCTGGGTTCCTCCCTCTATAGCATGATCTCTAAATCCCTACCTGGTAATCCCTTTGCCCCATTCGATCCCTTGAAATCTACCCTCCACTCCTACACTGGGGCCTTTTCTCCCCTCTGATGTGGTTGTCTAACCCCCTTCCCACTCCATCCTTTTACACCTCCAACTTTCTGCTCTCTTTGGATTCCTCCCCTAGGATCTCTAGGGCAGTGGCTGTCCAGACGACTGTACCCCTTTCGCGAGTCTGATTTCTCTCATGCACCCCTAAATTGCTCCTTGCTCAAGAAGGATTTGCTGGCCAAACCAGACCTCAAAAGACCAAAGTGTCCCAGCGCGCTAATGCTGACGAATGGCCGACTTTCTCATTTTGACCAGAGCCTTATAAAAGAAATCCGCTGGAATAGCAATATTGTACTTCCATTTCAGTGGCTCGTCTATAGCGCAGTCTAAACGAATCATTGGCTGTATGAAATTTGAGTTTGTACTGACCTCCCTAGTGCTTTTTATGCAGCCTGTTGTAAAACGAGGCGGAGTTGATGGAAGACCTCTGCGTAACCCCAGCGGTACGCGGTACCCGTACTGCTGGTTGGGAACCCCTGCTCTAGGGGATCCTCTTAGGACTAGATTCTCTCTTCCCCTTCCCCCCCCACTCCACTGGATTCCTCCCCCCTGGGGACAACTTGCTCTTCTTTACGCTGGATCGCCCCACCACCATCCCTCCGACTGGGATCCTTCTCCAGGGAGATCTCTTGCCACCCTGAACACTGGATTTCTTCCCCTCCACCTGGATTTCAGGGAATCTTCTGCTTCCTCTTTACACTGGATTCCTTTCCCCACAGGGATCTCTTGACCCCCTTTATGCTGGATTCCTCCCCCTCCACGGGGATTTCAGGGAGTTTCTTCCTTCTCCTTTATGCTGGATTCCTCTCACCCATGGGGAACACGGATACCTCTTCCCCACAGGGACTGTGTGTGTGCGTGCGTCTGTCCGTGCTCTGAACCAGCAAGGAGGGGAT